CTCATCTAATTCTCCATGGAGGAAAACACCAAAAAAAAGGGAAAAGAGAAGAAACTAAACCCTATATCTTCCTGTCGCCACCTCTACAGTATCGTCGTCGCCTCTTTCTTCAAGCCTTGATCATCTCTCCATTTATATATCATTTAGCCTTTTAAGTATCATGTCCAAGAGGCTGAACTCCTTTGAATGGAGTCATATATGTTTTTTTGTCTCTCCAGATGAATTCCTATTGCATTAAAAATAATAAAAATTACGTTTTGAATTACTTTATCTAAAAGGGTAAAAAAGTAAGTAATTCAAATATTGTAGAAACAATAAATTACTGGCAAATTATTTTTAGTTTTGTCATACTTAGCCAAACAAAATAATGGAAAAATAAAATCCTAATAAAGATATTATCTTACTTGTTTAATAAATTATAAATGCACAGGAAAGATAAGGTTGGTAGCTTGGTTCCCTAACTTGTAGACGTACTCGTAAATTGTCTTTAAATTTTAAAATATCTATATGTAGTCCTTAAATTTTATATTATTTACTATGTTAGTCCTTGAAATCAATTCTATCCACACAAAAAAATTAGATTGGTGGGATAGAAAGATCAAGGTAATCACATAAATTATATATAAGGCTCTTGTTTAATTCCCGTTATTTTTAAAATATATTTTTCTCAATCTTCTTTTTAACCACACATTTTTCATTAAAATAATATTATACGCAAACGAAAAACTATTCCTTATTTCTTAATCACAAATTCTCCTTCAATCTACTATTTCAAAATGCATTTTTAAAATAAAATGAGACTCAATAGGCTCTAGGTTCTAATAATTGTTTATCACTTGTATTGGAATTATTAATAATATGTATATTGAAATATTTAATATCGTAACTACCTTATATTGCTAGTGAACAATATTTTGGTGTCAAGATTCAATTTGGGAATGACATCCACCAAATTGATTTGTAAATAGTACAATGGTTGATTATGGTTCATCGAACAAACTTGTGTTCGTTCAAATGCAAAATTCTTGTACTTGTGAAAAAAATTGCCACAATCGAGTCCAAAAAAGCCTTTTGTTTCTTTTCCTTTTCATATAATGTATCTAAACTAACATTGAGACTGTTGGAATGTGTAAGTAGAATTATCCGAAAAAAAGAAATAAGATTGTCTAGATGTTCACGTATATATTAGATCAAGAATAAATGATTTGAACTTTTACCTAAATTTGATGATTACTTCATGAATTAATTCTAAAGCGAACTTCGAGCTTTTAATTTCAAGAATTTGACGCTCCAAATCTTCAAATCTTCTGCGGTATTCTTCAAAATCAATTCTACACAGGTGAGTGAGCACCTCATTTTAACTAAATGAAGAAACTAATTTTTGAACTAGACATGTGAATAATGTAAGAAAAATAAATTCTCTCTCTCTCTCTCTCTCTCTCTCTCTCCCTCCTTTTTTTCAAATCTGAACACTATGAAATTATTGTATTAAACTTTGTTGTGTTCAATTGGATGTCTAGGTTCTATCTAGTCTCTATTTATAGAGATAAAATAGTTTTATTCCATGTACAATAAGAATTCTACATTCAAATAGGAGTTTTAAATAAAGTACATATCCAATTAATTTATAGTTATTTATATGTATGGTCCTAGACTTCAATTACAATTAAGTTTACAACTTTCATAGCAATTACAATTAGGGTGTGTTTGAACCACATTATTTTGGAAGAATGTATTTTTGGAATAGTAAATCACTTGTTATTCAATCAAATACCATTTTTTGGCAGCCTTTTATAGTGGATACTAGTCGGCACATAATTAGAAACATTTTGGGCTAGTTTACGCATATTTATTTATTTTTTAATACTTTTATTTTTAAAAAATGATAAAAACGATAAGACAATTATAGTCGATAGAGCTCATAAAGCTATATAGATAAAGTAACATTAACTTAGAAATATTTTAACTTGTAAAGTTATATACCTCGAAAATAATAAAAGTAGACGAAGGAAGAGGAATAAGGGCAGGTTTCACACATGGTTTAAAGGTTGAGAACTATGTGTGCAAATTTCCAAGTAGGAGCATTAGAATAAAATAATTTTTTGTTGATAAAAAAAAAAACCATTTATTTAAAAATGGGGGGAGAGTAATTCAAGTATGTATAAAAACAAGAAATTACTTAGCCAAAAAAGGTCGATGTTATAATTTATATCATAATGGAAAAATAAAATCCTAAAAAAGCACAGGAAAAGACAAGGTTGGTAGGTAGCTTGGTTCCTTAATCCACTTGACATATCAGTGGTCGTTGTCCATGCTCCATGCCCTCCAGAATCCAGATTAATAACCCCTTTGACAAAATAATCCAGTACTTCGAACATTTTTCCTCTTCTTTTTGTCTACACAATCTCTTCGACTAAATAATCCAATACATAAAACATTTCTTCTTTCTTTTTAAATCTTCACGATTTCTTTGACTAAATAATCCAATACATATAACATCACTTTTAACATTTTTCCTCCTTTTTCTTCCAAAATTTTTAAAGCTTGTGAAGATACCAAAATAACATGGAAAAAGGGTCACTTGTGAGTTAATAAAATTCAAATTCTTTTTTCTCGTAGTTCTTTTTTTGCCGGCGTCAAATAATTTTCTTTCAACTGGGCGACTTGTTGAATTTTTCATGAAACTTAAACTTTATAAACTTTACATAATTGTCAAAATATCCATTTCAAATCATCAAGAAAATCAATTAATGCGGAACATACCTTGATTAATTGATTTGTATCTTGAATCTTGAATTTGGATCTTTAAATCTTGATTTCTTGTTCTTCAATTTAATTGCTCCGATCATTTTCCTTAATTCTTGATTGTGGGTTTTGGATCTTCCTCTTCAATATGCCCGCTCTATTAATTCTTGTGTTGATGGAATGACACTGTAAGTGTTGTGCCCTAAATCCAATTAACTTTGTTAATCACAAAGAGTTGTGATTGTGAGATACAAATTATATATGACTAAATCTTAAATCGTCCGTGGTCGAAGTAATAACGATATACGGATATTGTTATTACGGATAGACCATCACATGTGGCATTCTTA